TGAGAAATAGGGCCTGTGTGGCAAGTTCCCTTATTAGGTACACACCCTTCTCCCTGTTTAGTCTCACAAGAGAATATCAGATATGTGTATTCAAGTCCTGGACTTTCACTTCTGAACTATTTCAGAAAGATCTCTTGCAATAGCTTTCCCCAGCCAGAGTCCAATTCACGCTGTAGAAAAGGCTCCTATGCTAATGAGCTTGTATTGACAAGTGTGATAGATGTAGCAAGGTACTTAGCGAGAGCAAAGTTGATTGTGTTTTACAGCCTGTGTATTTCTCTGTTTATTGCTTGTATTCTGTCATTAAGCGAACAGGTTCCTAATATAGCAAATCTCTCTAATCAGTAAAGCAAGAGAGAAAAGAACCAGAGCACATTAATTATGACTGTTTGGCTGTGGCCTGGACAGTCTGTTGCTATCGGATTGGGCAGCTTCTTCTGGTTTTATTTCCTGGAGTTAGAGCAGAGAGGGAATGGCTTTTCTCCTGCATGGAGGAGAACAGAGACATGTTCCACGCCCTGCTGGCTGACAGCTGCCTAAAAACCGGAGATAAAACACTGGCTTCTCCACAGAAATGGAGTCCTGGGGCAGCAAAGACCAGGCTCTGCCAGGGTGCACTTTTAAGTCTGCAATTCCATAAGCAGACCTGGCATGCTGCTTATACCCCTGTGCTGTCCCCAAAGCCCTGCAGAGCCTGCTGTGGGCAGCAGCAGGTGGGGACTCCAGAGCCAGCTACAAATGAGATGTACGCCTGTGTGTTCTGCACTAGAGTGCTGTTGGTACCAAGGCTGGCTTTCCGAATGCTGATGCCTGGGGTAAAAGGCAAGAGAGGCCACTCTGACTCCAGGTACCAGAGGTTAACAGCATCTCATGCATTTATTAACCCTCTGGTGCCAAGGACTGGTGAAGTCTGGCCTCCCAATCACAGAGCCCTGGAAATTCTATTATGTGACATTCCTGGACTTGTTGATTACCACCAGGGACAATTTTATAGCAGCTGCTGGAGGGACAAAGCTTATGGAGGCTCTAAAGGGCAAGTTTCTGTGATTTTCTAGAGTGTATGCAAGGCTTTCGCAGCATGCTCTTGCCCTTTTTAATCCTCGAGATGAAAACCTCAAGGCACTGTGTCTTGGTGGTGACATTTCACACAAAGCAGAGTCAGGAGGCTTTGCTCAAACCACGGGATCAGAAATTAACTGATAGGAAACACTTTCAGAAAAGACATTAAATAATTCCTTTTCAACCTACTGTAAAAATTGTTCAAATTAACTGTTAGAAAAACAGAGTAGACTTCTCCTTTTCTTCTTCCTTTTTGTTTTGAAAGACATACCCTACTTTAAAGTCAGCAAATGCTAGGGTCAGTGTTCATGTGGGTGTAGGAGCTCTAGGTCAGGTGTCTGAATGTCCCATCATTATCAGGTTCCAGAGGACTACGGGGGTGGGGGGTGCCAGCATAACTTTATGGAGCCCTTGGCTTTACCAGTGTATACTTTGGTGATGATAGCTGGTTTTCTACTTTGGGGCTTACTTTACTCTAAACAGATTCTCAGAAGTTATGTGTGTATGTTTTGATTAGGGGGTGTCTTTTAATTTCCATGATTCCATCTCAGTTTTCAGCAAGCGAAACAAGACTTAAAAGTATATAAGCACTTAGCAAGTACTCAACAGTAGTTGAAGGTAGGTGGGTGCCCTGTAATTTTATGTTTGAATTGATCACAACTGACTAGCAAGACTGATTGTTTAATGATGTTTTAGAAACGTTCAGGATGAAAGTCTTTGAAACGTAGAAATAACAGGTTCCTTAGGCTTATACAGTGGGCTTTAAGACACAGATTTTCTTAAAAAGACTCCAGGTCTGCAGTGGTATGTTTCAGTGGTCATTGGGATTTGTGCTGTGTACAAGACTCCTGAGCATGCAGCCAGCCACTGTACCCATCTGTGAGCTCAGTTCTGCCCCTGCCTGCTGATCACATGGGGTATAGGTACTAGGCAAAGCTTGGTCTGTAGTTAATTCCAGGGTAGGCATGGCCCCTTTGGCCTGCATCCCATCAGGTAAGGGATTAAAGCCATCTCCCATCTGTGTGCAGTCCTTTGATTTTATTCTTCAATTATCACCTGCCTTCACCTTCTCATTAGGGGTACATACCTTACAGTGTCCCCTGCTACGTTTGGGTAGATGCTGCAAGACTGCTGTGTTTACCCTACTCTGCAGTCATGGTGACATCTCCAGTACCAGATGGCTCTGCAGGAAGCTTGCTAAGTGCTTTCTGGGAGCTGAGTTTAAAAACCTGCCTTGGCCTGTGGACAGCCAAACCTCTGAGAGGCAGCCAAGGCTGAGAAGGAAACCATTAGGTTGGGCAGCACATTCTTACTCGGAGTCAGCATTCTGTGTAGTTATGCCCGTGAAGATGGTCTTCCAGCTACATGTTAACTGTTAGAAGCCCACAGGATGCTGCTTTGGGGAACAGCAGCCCACAGATGATACAGACTTGGCGCTGCTCTAAATGCATTTTCCTGTGCCTGTAAGCGGTCACCGTGGCCACTCTTTGAGTAAAGGCATGGCTGGCAGTTTAGATGTGGGCGCGTTGACCTGTTGGAGAGCGTAGAAGTCTAACCATGTGCAAAAGCCAGTAGAACACCCAGCAAGAGAGCAACCCTCTCTGTTTAGCTACTAGAAGTCCTATCATAATCATTTCATCATGGGAACGTTGTCCTAAGGTTGTCCCAGGTTCCGAAATGACAGGCTCATGGGTGTTAGTCAGGTGATGGGAAGAGCCACCCAGCTACAAACTCTCGGAGGCCACTATGGTCCACTCAGGTGCTGCTTTGCTGTGACCACACTACAGAAATAGTTTGAGGCCATATTGTGTCACAGTCCAGAGGTCTTACTCTTTCCCCAAACCAGTCAGTGAATGGGTTAGTTATGTAGAGTCCCTCAGTGGGGATCTTTGTCTTTTGTATCTTATGGCCTAGTAAAGAAAAGGTGGAATGGGATGTTTTAGGGCCATTTGGGTGTCTGGGCACAATTCCAGACCTGACGTTCTACACATTATTCTCTGTAGGTAGCAGAGCAGTGGCTCAGACTTGCTATTATTATAGATTAAAAGTAGGCTTTTGAGTAAGTTCAATTCCGCTTCCAATTTCCCCTCTGATCTTCTTATACATAACATTTAGTGACCTTTGAACAGCCTGGGGATGCTTCACAGTGTCTTGTTCTTGAAGCCTGCTTAAAGGTTTCTATTTCATATTCACGGCTGGCATATGCAAATATAGGTAAAGATTATGATGACTTCCCAGTAGCATTATGGTCAACAAATTACTCCTTGGGCAAGCATGCTGTCGTTTTAGCCTCGAGTGTCCTCAGTGAGTCGCAGAGGCTCACAGCACACAGGCAGCCTTCTAGCAGCATGCCCTCGGAGCTGGTGCTTGGCTCAGGGATTCCTTGATTCAAAGGTGATGACTATTTATCAGGGTTTGCCTTCTTGACAGACAAGCTCTTCGTTGGTGTCAAAGGGCTGCTGTTGTTAGGGCTGAGGGTGGGTACCTTGGGAAGAGTTTCTTGTGTGGATTTGGGGAGGGCAGAGACTCAGGCAAGTCTGTGATCCAGGAAAGAGCATATGTTCATAGAACCAAAAAGCCATGGTTACATTCTGGCTCTGTAGGCATATTGCTGTGTGATCACTTATTTAACTTCTCTGGGTTTAAATTGTTTGTGTTTATAAAGTGAGTGCAGTACCGAGTGGGGAGTTTTCAAGGTCTGTTCCTTGCAATTGTCTGAGTGATGGAACACTGCTACTACTGAACCGTCAAGCATAAGACCAATGAGAGAGTCGGTCCAGTTAAGGGGGAAAGAGAGTTTAAGGCCTTCACTGCTCAGCCCGCTAGCAACTACCTTGGAGACAGTTTTTGAATTTCTGTATTGGGGTCTGTCTTGGTTACTGTTCTAGTACTGTAAAGAGACAGCATGACCAAAGCAACTTAAGAAAGGAGGTGTTTAATTGGGAGCTTGCTTACAATTTCAGAATGTTAGTCCATGGTCATCATAGCAGGGAGCATGACAGCAGGCAGGCAGACAGGTACAACCCTGAAGTAGTAGCTGCAAGCTTTACATCCTGATCCTCAGACAGGAAGGAGAGCTTTTGAAACCTCAAAGCTTGCCCCCACTGACACACTTCCTCATCTTCCTAAACAGTTCACCAACAGGGAACCAAACACATGAGCCTATGGGGACCATTCTCATTCAGATCACCTCAGGGTCTATAGTGCTGTGTGATTCCTGTAGGGCATCCATCTGAGAGTCCCTGCAGGGGTGTTTTAACCCCAGTCTTGGAATCATTTGCCAGGAAACAGAGAGCCCCAGAGCTCAGGAACTGGACCCTTTCAGCTCCCTCCCTGGCGCAGCATTGGAAACATCAAGAGCTTCTTGTCACTTGTTGACTGGGGCGGCAAGTTGGAAAATGAGCAAAGCACTAAGCTGCCAGGAGACTCTCCATCACTAACACATGGGCATGTCTGTTACGATATTGTAAAGTAAATTCACTTTCCCCAAATTAGCACCCAGAAAGATCAATGAGTCACCACGTCAAAATTCTCTCCTCTGTGTCTGGTCCTGCCTGTGCCGTTCCTGAAACAGACACTAGTGACAGGTAGCTACTGAACTCTGAAATAGGATAGCTTTGAACAGAGACATATGGGGTCAGACACTGGACTTTGAAAAACTAGGAAGAAAGAATGCCAAATATCTCATTAATTTTTTTACATTGATTCCATGTTCAAATGATAATACAGTTGGTTAAATAAAATATATAATTAAAATTAACCTCACCTGCTACCTCTTTATTAGACAGCCACTTGAATGTTGTGAATTATAGATGGGGCTCACAGTTGTGGCTCCTATATTTATCATCTGGCCCTGCCCTAGACTGTTGATTAATGGAATCGTAATTAATTACTCTTCCCTATTATGTCTGAGAGCTTTTCCCCTCTTTGTCTCTTTCCAGGCACAGAAGCTGAAATCCAATGTGTCAGGCAGTCCACATCTCTGTCTTTCTGATGTAAGTGACATTTCTTTTGTGTTTCTTAGCCCTTTTAGGGACATAGACTTTTTGCAGTGGGTATATAATACATAATATTTGAAGGCTAATAAAGTCTTGGATTCAGAAAAGATCTCATCAGCCTCTGTATTGACTTGCCTTTGGAGCAAGGCACAGAATGAAGATTCGGTGCAAAGTTATAACTGAATGTACAACTTGAGATCTTTACCAGAAAGCCAGCCTCAGCACTGAGTCCATTGTTCTGTGCTGGGAGACACTGAGGTCAGTTGCCTGAAATCATCTGCCTGCTGGCTCAAGGATCCTGACTTGCAGCTCCTCTGACCTTCAACAGCCCACTGAGAGGTGGAGCTAGCCCCAGACCCTCTACATTTGACCAAGAGGAGATAGCTAGATGTATTGTGTGTCATCCTCCTCTGCCATGAGGGGACGTCGCATTCCAGCATTGAGCAGCTGTGGTGGTGCAGTGGAGGTGTGTGCCGTAGGAAAGGACAGCTGTGCTGGCCAGAAAGTACAGTGTGGGTTCTGGCTTGGGCTTCTCCACTGAGGAGTTAGACAAGGTTGGCCCTGTGGGACTACTATCTGTCCCTGCCATTGATTATGATATGTCTGTCTCTTCATGAGCTGCAAGATCCCAGATCGTTCTTCCTACCTTCCTTGCCTGGTGGAGAGAGTCAGCAAGAAGCCCCCTCCCCAGTGAAGAGGCTGTAGCTGTTAGGTGGTCTAGAAAGAGATATAAAGGCAGCAATCCCCAGGCCTACACATTTCCCGTCAAAAGGGATGTATGAAGGAGCATGCAGCAAGCATTGGCCAGCAATTGATCCAAAGGATCCACATCTTACCTAAGTTCATGGTCCCATTTCATAAAACTAAAAGTTAGCCAGTTGAGGCCGGGCGGTGGTGGCGCATGCCTTTAATCCCAGCACTCGGGAGGCAGAGGCAGGCGGATGTCTGTGAGTTCGAGGCCAGCCTGGTCTCCAAAGCGAGTTCCCGGAAAGGCGCAAAGCTACACAGAGAAACCCTATCTTGAAAAAAAACCAAAAAAAAAAAAAAAAGTTAGCCAGTTGAATCTCAGTGGTTAAATCTCAGGTCAGCTTTTTGTGAGAGTAGTCTGCCATTAGGGAGAGGGGAAATGGAGTAGAGAGCATGGGTAAAATATAACATGGTAGAGCGTGTATGTGTTGTGGAAGATAATGAAAACATTCTTTCTTACAGCATGATTACGAAAAGGATGGTCTCGCTGGTGCCTCCAGCCACATAACCACAAAATCAATGGCTGCCCCTCCCTGTTGCGGTCTGAGCTCACTGCCGGTGCTGGTGGTTACCACTCTGGCCACCCTATTATCTGTATCCTTGGCAGAAACATCATAGCTGCATTCAGAAAATATGGAAAGACAAGAGAGAGAAACAAACAACCACGTAACCTGTTTCCTGTCCTCTTGTATATCTGAAAATCCAGTTTTAAAAGCTCGGTTGAGAAACAGTTTCATCCAGCTGAAACTCCTTTGTTGTTTTTTAAGGAAGCTTCTTTTGACCCTGGGGGGCTTCTGTGGAAGAACCGATACAGGGCTAATTCCAAACTCAGAAGGCTCTGTGGCATGGTGTGGGTTAAGGGGACCATTTGTAAACTGACTGTAAAGCAAGCTGAGGCTATGGTTTTGATGGTGATGGTTATGGTGGTGGTGATGGTGATGATGATGACGGATGATGATGATGATGATTTTAACAGCTTAAATTGTTCTCTTTACTGGCTAGAGCAGGAGATGTTATTGGTAAAGATTATTCCATATTTTGTTGAATGGCTTTGAATTCTAATGACATGTCTGCAGCCTAGTGTAGACAGCAAATGAAGGTCAGCTCCAAGAGTGGACTTTTTGGACTCCATCTTGTACTAATGTTCACCTTTCTATGTCCGTTCTTCACAGAGTGTTCGTGTACTACCGACAAGTCTGTGACCCTCAACAAAACCAAAAGCCCTGGTCACATCTAAATGTAGACCCTGTCATTCAGTCCAGTAGAGGAGAGTGGCCCTCACACAGAGCCTGGCTTGTTGACTGACGCTCTGCTGAGCCTTGCCTGAGTGAGAAGCCCTTAAATACAGCTGAAGTGCAACTCTTAATGCTTTTTACACTTAGGAGGTCACATGTAGAAAAGTGTTCCTTTACTATTCAATGATTCCAGCTGTTGGCTTTCTACATTTTGAAAGTAATGATACTGTCCTTATTTTTTACTGATGGTTTAATACAGGCACATGCGGTGTGTTTTCCTCTCATAATTAGTAGTAGCTCCAATGTTGACTTCGCTGATACGGCTCTCAAAAGCAGACCCTAAGGAGCTCCCATGCTTTAGCAGAAAGCTGCATCCCATTACTGTGGACAGGCAGGAGAAAACTGAGCTGCCAGCCCATGTCTTTCTCTGTCTTGAAAAACAAGGCTGCATACATGTGAGGAACAGGTCAATTCTTGTAAGGGATGCCACAGTTGGATGGCGTGACTGGCACTTGACACAGCTCTGCTACCTTGGTTTTCATGTTATCTGACAAAGACAGCTTTGATTGGGACTGGGCACAAGGGATGAGACGGAGGTGTGCTGCCCTCTCTTTCAAAGTCAATCCCTGCCAGTGTACACGGGAGTGTCTTTGCTCCTGACTGCAGAGTCATGGCCACCATTCAGAGCAGTTTCATCTCAAGGTCATCAAGCATCTCTGGTATATGACTCTATGGCTTTCATCACGGACTGTGTCCCTGCAAAGAGGAATGGTGGTTTATGGATCTTGAGGGCTAACATGGAGTCTGGAAAGGTGAATTGGTTGGCAAAGATACACAGAACAGGATAGGATTCTCCCGATGAGACATCTGTCTTACATAGCCACACACCTTCTCCTGGAGTCCTCTTCCTCGCCTAAGCAGCCCCTTAGGTGTGTATCTAAAGTCTGCTTTAGACAGTCAGGTTCAGAACCTGCAGATGATTGCATACTGTTTCCCCAAAAGTGAATAAAGGAAAGAAAGTCTTCCCTCCATGGAGCCCTGAAAGTTTGATCTTGCTTCCCACCCTCAGAAAGGTGGAGGAGGGAGCCCCGATGCACATAATCTACTGGTACCTGCCCCCTGCTCTCTGAGGTTTGCTTTGGATGAATAGCAGTTTACCTGAGAAAGGGAAGAAATCCATGAAAGCCAAGAGATAGACCTGATTTTCAGCTCTTTTGGTGTCTGAAGTACGTTTATATCCAAATGCTAATGAATACCAATGTAAAATACTCAGTAGCAACATTTTTTTCATGTCAAAATGTTTCAAGGGGAATGCATCCAACATCTAAGTGTACCTGATCAGTGGGAAGTTCCATGAAGACTCATACATACAATGAATAAATACCTTGAATGTGTCAAAACATTTAGAATGCCAGTCATGTGTGGGAACATATCTCTTACAGAACATACTTTGTTTTAATTAAGGTATCTCCATGTATCTACACTGGACTAATTGCATATGGGTCTGATTGGATGTGATCCACCTTAGGAAACTATCGATCACCCCTGCAGTATATTGCAGTTCTAATTAGCTTCAGAGGACCATAGAGGAAACTGGAGCCCTGTGCTAACAAGGGCAGCCTTCAGCCAAGAACTCATAGATATGCAACGTGGAAATTAAACTTTGAAAAGCTCTGTCACCAACAAAAATCTCATTTTCTTTTGGAAATAAAAGCATATTAGAGTTACCAGATCCTTAATTTGAAAACAAGTTGCTGATAAGATGAACAGTGGGCAGGGCCTCATTTAGGGACTGCACAGTAGGGAGACAGTCAGAAAACCAGACCGAGTAAGTATTCCTGTCATTCATGATCTCAACTTGACGTGTGAGCTTGGCAAAGGGGTTTGTCTGGAGCCTGGAGCAGGAAACGTGGCAGTGTGCTCACCTGACTTCCTCCTGGAGCAGTGACAAGAGCAGCCAGCGACTTTCTGTCCCCCTGCTCTCCCTTTGGCAGACCCAGGTTTGGTCCACTAGAGTTGGAGTCCTTGCAGAAAGTCCCGCTTGGAAGTTAATTTTGCCATCATAACGCACAGGTGTGTCACACACACTGACTCAAACTCTAGCCCTGCCCTACTTCAGAAAGAGACAGAAGGCAACAGAGCCACATGGAACAGAAGCACATTGTTCAGTTTGACCTTGGACGTCCTTGAACAGACCGTGTTTCAAGTCTTTAGGAGAGCACAGGAGGGGAGATGCGCACAGCAGGGAGAGGATTCGGCATCAAATGCTGCCTGTTTATTTTTCCACATCTGTTTTTTTTTTTTTTCAAATCTCTGATAGAAAAAAAGTAGATATTGAAAATTGCATAGGTTATTTTTCATCAAGTAAAGCAAATTGTATCTAGATGTAATTGGAGGGTGGTTTCCATTTTGTTTTTAAGACAATTTCATATCTTGTGGTTAAACAGAAATGTCTTTGAAGTTATAGCTTCCAGTTCATCCCAGTACAGCACAGGGACTCTCCAGAGTCCTGGAGTCTAACGTTCGGTTGGTAAGGGGTTGTCTCTCTCTTGCCTGTGCCCTGTGCTCCACAGATGTAGATGGGTCATTCCCAACTACACTATATTTCCCATGAGCCTCCTTGTCTGTAAGTCAGACACTCCCAAACAACCCATCTGCTGAGTCAGAGAAATGAGAGAGGGTGGAAGTGTGTTTGAATCAGTGTATAGTTAGGAAAAGAGATGTAAAAGCAGTGGGGATTTATAAAATTAGCAATTATTTTCTTAGATTCCAAGGTGAATGTACTTCAGTTATTACTTACAAAATAATAGACTCGGAGGAGCTACTGTTTGGAACGTGTTTTTATTCACTTAGTCAGACATGCACGACTTACCAAGTGCATGAGAAGGGTAACTTCAGTTAGTTCACGGTCTGCCTTGGGAATCCTGCTCTTGGTCTCCAGGAGTCACCACCCCTTGCTGTCTCTGCCGTTCTTGCTTGTGCTTTTTGCCTGAGCAAATGAGACCATGGGAGACCCGTCTTTGTAAGAAAGTGTAAGACAGTGGCAACAGATGGAAGTGAATGACCGTGGCCTGGGCACCATGACACCAGGAGGCCGCCATCTTCCCTGAGCTCACGGGGTTTGGAGAAATGAAGCAAAATCAAGGGCAACAGGAAGCCATGGAGACGGTCGGTGGGCCGCTTACTTGGCTGATGTCTGTTACTGAGGGGGGCTGTCTTCTGTTAAAATAGCCAGGGTCCTGAAATAGTGGGAGGTCCTTTGTAGAAGGGAAACTAGAATTAATGTCTGGGTGACTGAGGGAAGACCGTGCTTTCAGAAACCCTAAAGTGAAAAGCTAGGGGGTATGACTGGGTAACCCTAGAAGTGACAGTTCTTTCTTATCCTGAGCGTGGAATTCCATGTCTTTATCTGACACATCTTGACTTTGACATGGCTTTTCTAATTGAGCAAGTTTAAGTCTTTTCTAGGATTCTTCATGAAGAACTGTTACCTTGGAATGGTAGTCCCACTCCAGAGGCCTTACTTCCCTGGGCTTGGCCACTGCCTCTGCCCTGGCACGTACCCTGTAGGATGTCCATTACCCAAGGGGAGATGTCTTAAGCTGTGATTGGTTTTGTTATCTTCCCATTGATTGTTGAAGCCTCCACACTTCCCTTTTCCTTTATGGCCTGAGTACATCTTGCATTCTTCACCCAAGTCACTCTAAATTCAGTACTGCCAACATCTAGCCACGACCCATCAGATGCTCATTTTGTGGAAGGAGTTGTGTCTCTGGAGCCAGATGGTGCAATGCACTCTCCTACCCCTCTTGAGAGCCCTCTTCTTCACTTTGGGCACCCTGCCCCTTGTGTCCTCATGGGGGTCCCTTTGCTCTTTGGGGGAGTGCTCTGATAGCTCATGCTTTTTCCCAGAGGCAGCTCAGAGCGGCTGTTCATCAGGATGCACCACCTGCATTTCTGATGAGTTCTGAGACCCAACCCAGAGAGGTGGGGAAGGCACACAAACCCAGTTCCAATAAACTGCCTGCAGAGCGCTCTAGCCTGCTGATAGTCATCAAGGCCTCAGAACCCCCTAAGGTCTGTCTCCAAGCTCATTTGACCAACGCAGCTGTGACTTGGGCTGTCTGCCCCTGGCAGGTGCCAGTATCAACATCTTGTGCCACTGCCATGAGGAGGAGTTCATTCTCATTGGAGGGCAGCTGCTCAGCACCAGCACCAATAGAAAGGATTCTCTGGCTTTTCTCTCTTTAACACAGTCTGGAGGAACTTTCTTACCAGTCTCCACTTTGATTTTATAGAAGATGCCGGGAATCTGACCAGAGGATGACAGTTTCAGTCTTAACACTGCTCTCGGCTCATTGCCTTCCCGTGTAGGTCCAGCCTATAGTAGAAAATGCCGGTTGCCTGAAAAACACTGGGACACCAAAGGGCTTCATTCTGCCCCATGGCAACAAGAACTGTCCAGGCACATAGCTCTGCTGGCCTTGAACAGCACTTTACAATGGACTGGGGTTGCCCAGGGTCTAGGGAGGTGCTCAGCTAACCATGTTCCCTGCCAGGAGCTGAGACAGGAACAGTCATCCTTGGAGCAATCGAGCATGACCAGCTAATCCCAACAGACCTACATCTGCCGGACCAGTGAGCCTGCAGAGATTTTAATCTCCATTAAGAACAGGGTGCAGGACTCCTCCAGCCATCCCAGGGACGGCAGCCTTTCCATTCCCCCTCCCAGGAAGCAAGTCCAACATCTGTCAACTTAGCACACTTGGTAGGCAGGTTCTGTGACTGGCTGGACCACCCTTAGGAACAGCAGCTTCCCCAGAAAGAACTAGAGAGCCTTAGGCCCCTTGGCAGCCCCAGGGAAACACCTGTTTGCCTGCTGGTGGGTGTCAAACTGATGGTGCAGTCTTTCTGTTTGACACCCTCTTTATAGAAGTAGACTGTGGACCTTGGTCCCCAAGAGCTGTCTCAGCTTCTGTCTGGACACAACAAAGCCAGCTGCTGTGAGGGGGGAGGCAAACCCACTACCCTCAGTCTGAGCCAGACAGGCTACCGAAGAGAACCCAGGCCTCGGATGGCCGTGATTGGCATACGGGTGCATCAGTGGGGCTGTCACAGTGGCCTGGAGCCAGTGGAAAGTGCGAGAATGAACACCTGAGCGGCTTTGACTGGGGAGAGCAAAAAGTAGGATTCGTTTTAAAATCATTTTAGTTAGCATACAAAATAGTGGGTTTCACGGTTACGGTTTCATACGCGTACGTCATTGTGTTACGCTTTGTTCATACTCTTTCTCTCCCTTGTGTCTCCCCATCTCATGCTCTTCATCAGGGCCCATTTAAGTAGCAAAACTTTGCATATGTACAAGGAACCCCGATGCCCACCGCACACAACACAGATCCCAAAGTTCAAGTCAACTGGGATGAAGAATTGGAAAATCTGACGGATGCGCTAGTACAGGAAACTCGGGTGGTTTTGTTTTCTTTTTGTTGAATGGTAAAGAATGGTCACCAGGTCAGTGTGATTTCTGCAAACACAGGTGACAGTAGCCTGGGCCTTCTTACACACGGCTGTAAGATACCATCAGCTCAGCCCCCACCGCCACCTCCCTCTCCCACCTCCTCACCCAGGCACAGCTGTACGGTCCAGCAGCATCTTCTAGGCGTGAAAAGTGTGCTTGATCTGAGTTTGGGTTTTTACTGTTGAGCTGTAACTGAAGGCATTTCTGGGGGAGGGGGAAGAGCAAGAAAGCAAACTGAAAAAGCAATCAAGCACTTCTGCTGTGTTTTTCTGGATTCAGAAAAAGCTGATGTCCTCAGAGAGTTGAAAAATGGCTTCAGAAACCCAAAATCCAGAGCCTTGCAGCGTCCTAATTATCTGACTTTCCTCTCTTCTCCCTCACCCAGGGGACAAGGAAACGCTGCTCATCACACAGCTCGCTTGAAAGAGTTCCTGTCTTGTGCACATTATCCCTTGATATTGAAATTATTTTCTCTGTTTAATCCAGCTCCTGCTGAGAAGCTGTGTGGGATTTAGGATGCAGGATTTTCTCTTGTGCTTCCCAATGGTTGTTGCATCTTTCACTCCTAACCGGAGGGTATGTCTCCGCTGCCGCTGCTCTAGTTCATGCAGGTTAGCTGTGAGTAGAGGAGACAGCTTCTGATGAGATATTTTCAGAATTCTGACCTGAACAAGGGTCCAGACACCTCCTCAGAGCCGGATGAGGAGAAGAGCAGGCTTTGGTAGGAGGTCTCGGTTAGGAGAGGCCACCTTGTGTCCCCAGGGTTTTCCACACATAGAGGAAGGGGCATTTGCCTTGCTGAGCAGCGGATCTCCTGAGGACAGCGGTGCGTCTCCCAGGTTGCCTACACATCTTCGCGCAGCCGTTTGGACCATGCTTCCTGCCAACAGGAGACCATAGAAGGACAGTTTTCCATTTGAACTTTGGCAGAGGTTCGGTGATGTTTGAAGATTCTGTCTGCCTCTTGCTCAAACCCTACAGAGTGTGTGTAGTCCCTTTGGCCCTCTCCACCCCCTGAATATCCCAATAAACGTTCTTTTCTTTTATAAAAAAGTAAAATGGCTTGTATTAGTTACTTTTCTTGTCTCGGTGACAGAATTCCTTACAGAAGCAATTTAAAAGAAAAAAGGTTTGTTTCAGCCCACAGTGTGAGAGGGCACAGTCCTCAGAGGAGAACAGCAGCAGAACATTGGGCCTGTGGTTCCTCACATATCTATGGCTCCAAGAATCAGAAAGCTCAGGCTGGAATAGGGTCAGACTGTAACCCTCAAGGCCCACCGTCCTGCAGCAGCCTATGTCCTTCGGCTAAGCCCCACCTCCTCAAGGTTCCAGAACCTTCTGAAATAGTGTGACCAACTGGGGACCACAAATTCAAAGACAGGCGCCTAGGAGGAGCATGTCACATCCAAACAGTAACATGAGCGCTTTGATGTCTTTTGTTTATACCGTCATTTAAAAAAAAAAGTTATAGAAAATTGTTTTTGAAACAAGAGTCTAGCTATGTAGCCCAGACTGACCTCTACTCAGGTCTGCCTGCCACTGTCTCTTCAATGCTAGGATTAGTGGTGTGCACTACCACACCCAGGAGGATGTTGAAAATTTGCAGACATCTCCAAGATAGAGATACTGGTATTTGGGTTGGCAGATCATAAAGGATGCAGTGTACTTGACACAAAACTTTGTGTCATTGCTTCCCAACTGGACACTACTGGCATGTGTGACAAGATAGTCATTCGGCAAGAGAACGTGGGTCAAGTCCTGGACATGGTCAATATTTGGTCTCAGCCCTGGGTAACTCCAATCTTCTCATCACTGCCAGGTGTTCACTTAGATGGGCAGCATCGCCCCAGTTGAAAGCTGCTGTTTCATACCCAATCTAACGTCTCGTGAGGAATCTGTTAGGTTTAGTGTGGGGACCACAGCTGACATTTATTTTCTGTCTGCTAAAGGCGATATTTTTTTCCCCGAGACAGGGTTTCTCTGTGTAGTTTTGGTGCCTGTCCTGGATCTCGCTCTGTAGACCAGGCTGGCCTCAAACTCTCAGAGATCCTCCTGGCTCTGACTCCCAAGTGCTGGGATTTAAGGCCGTGCCAGCTAAAGGCGATTTTATAATCACATTATTGGGTTGGTAGATTCTCTAGTTAGCATCATCTGCACTCAGTGATTCGTATAGACTTGTAGAGAGTATTTTTATAAAAGATTAGAATGGGGTTGTTTTTCTTATTTCGAGCACGTAAGTCAATGCCTGGCCAAGACAGTCACTTATGGTCCCAGGTTTCTCTCTGTATTAGGACCTGGAGACGACTGCTCACGGTGCTTCAGTCTCACTGGTGGGGTGGCTGTCACTCATATCCTTTCTCTAGGACTCAATAAAGCACAGTGTTTAAACACAAGTGCTGTAATGAAGTTTCCCACTGTTGTATGCCACAGGATTCACTCTGTCTGCAGGCTGAGGGACAGCGAGACCGGGGTTCTGTGTGACACGAAGGCATGGTGTTTCTTTTGGGTATCTGCGGGACCACTTTATTTTTTATTAGCATATTGTAGTTATGGAATTCCCTGCATTTTCCTTTTTTTTTTTTTTTTTTCTGGAGCTGAGGACCGAACCTAGGGCCTTGTGCTTGCTAGGCAAGCACTCTACCACTGAGCTAAATCCCCAACCCCTCCCCACATTTTTCTACATGTATATAATGTGCATTTTGTCACATTCACCCCTCATTAGCTCCTTAAGCCCCGCCCACTCCTGCTGACCCCATCCTCTTCTCAGTCCCCATCTACCCTCAAGTCTTTCTTTTTTCCTTTTGGTTACTCAAAGAGTTTAATCAGCTTTGCTTACAGGAGTGTGGGTCAGGTTATTTACAGAAGCCAGGACACTTTGCCAGTAGCTACACTACTGGAGAAAATGTCTGCCTTTCTCAGCAACCATTAACTACCTATAAACCCTCAGGGTGTTGAGGGCTTCCTGCACCCCTCCTGTGTTCATGACAGGATGTTGACAAGCCCAGTCTTGCCCAGGTCCTGTGTAGGGATAGCTGCTCTAAGCGCAACAGTATAACAGGCAGGTCATGCCCAGAAAACAGCCTTCCACAGCACTCCATCCCTTCCTGCCCTTACATTCCTTCAGGCCCTCTTCTGTAGTGCTCCTGAGTCCTGGAGAGGGTGTCCCATTAGGGCTAAGTGTAGCAAGAATCTTAAAAGTTCTTATTAATAAAATCAAACCCGGGGCCAGTTATTGGGGTGAAATGCTGGAAGATCAGAGAGACAGAACAAGCCACAGCTAACCTCACCTGGCCAACTTCTCAGCTGATTCTGTTTCCTCAGACTGGAAGCCTCTGTGTCCTCATATCCGAATGGCTTTCAGCTGAACTGTGCTGCTCAAAACCTAAAAGCTTAACCAGCCAAATGCTTAACCAGCCAAATGCTTCTAGTTCCTGGTCCTCACGCCTTATATACCTTTCTGCTTTCTACCACCACTCCCTGGGATTAAAGGCTCGCTTTCTGGGATTAAAGGCATGAGTCACCATGCTTGGCTGTATCCTTGAACACATGGATTTCTGCCTCTGGAATGCTAGGATTAAAGGCATGTGCTACCACTGCCTAACTTCTATGTTTAATATTGTGGCTGTTCTGTCTCTGACCCCAGATAAGTTTATTAGGGTACACAATATTTTGGGGAACATAATACCACCACAGTTAAGCATTCAACTGCCAAAAGTCTCAGTACCTTGATTGTTCATGAGGCTCTGCCCATTCACAAGTGAAGCCTTGCTTACCAACAGTCGTCTGTAAGCATAAGGATACATACATACTCAGAAGGCCATTCGAGAGTCGTATCGTGTCTATCTGGCAGAACACCAGCAATGGCTTCTCCACTGTGGCCTGTGACATCTCTGCTTTTTTGTGTTTTCCTCTTGATTTGTTGGTCCAGCTGAGCTTCCCTCCTGCCTTGCTTCTTGGGTCTACTTTCAAATAGCCAAGTTTGTGTTGATTATATTCAGACCTTTCAAGAATTTCTGGGTGACTGTGGGTTGACAGTTTGCAAGCATTCAAACCTGTATCACCAAAGCCAGAGCTCCCGGGTTCTGGGTTCTGGGCTTCTCGGGGAGAAGGACACAGAAAAAATGACTTGTAGCTGCTCAGGGCTACACGGATGGGGCTGGAACTCTAGAGGTGGGAAGACAGGGCGTCGCCACCAGCGGAGACCAGGAAAGCAGCCTGCAATGCAGCATGCACCTAGGGACCCTCAGGGCCCTCCACCTGTGCCATCCATTCATATTCTAACCATCTTCTGAACACAGCCAAGGCCCCAAGATGCTGGTGATAGAAATTTTAGGAGCTGGAACAAGAAATGTCTAATAAAACCCCGAGAGAAATGCCAAGAAAGCAAATAAAAATTGTGACAGGAACAAGATACAAGACTGTCTGTGTTGGCGATATAAATAAAGCATAAACGAAAACACAGCGATGTGAAAGATAGGAGCGGAGTAGCCATAAAAGCCCCATAAACCACCGTGAGCACCGCACTGAGGGGCTTTAGCCTCACAAAGGTTCCTCCCATGCAGGCTGGCAGAGAAGGGAGTCGCCACACTTGAAAAGTCAAGTGAGCTCTGGCTTCCGATTACTCAGGTGCATACATAAATAGAGTAAATTTTACCTTCTTTTTAAAAAGAATTTTAAAAATGTGTGTGTGCAGATTTGCACATGCCCATGTGTGTGCCTGTGTGCATGGAGTTGCAGGCCTTTGCAGGGAACACCTGCCTTGCTGTGGGTGGCTGCTGGGATCCAAACTGTGGTCTTCATGATGATGCAGTGAGGGCTCTTAACCACTGAGCAGCTTAACCGCACTGTAGCCTCAGAAATGCCTCTCTGGAAATGTCCTCATTTAAAATTCTTGGAGCCACAATCCCACTGCAAGGAGTCCATCCCGAATTTTTCTGCAGTGTGCCCAAATCCATGTAGAAGTGTTTTCTACCACAGAATGATTCATAATGGCAAATAACGTGGGAAGACCAGACAAGCGAGCACTATACAACCATTTGTTATTTTTACTATTTTTCTAAAATCTTTTGACAAACATGTTCAATATGTTTTGATCAGATCCACCCTTTGCCCTTCCTTGCCCCCCTCCCCTGCTCAGCCTCATCTTTCCAACCAGCCCCATCCTATTTGTGTGCCTTATTTTATTTATATTTTTATGACCCACTGGATTTTCTTAAGGTTGCTTCCATGAACATGAATGGGGGGCTGTTTACCAGAGTTTGGGTAGCTCAACCATGGCTTACCATGAGGAAGATAACTTCTGATACCCTGAAACCCGTTAACTTGTACAACTACTTTTTAAAAGGTAAGTGTAAATAGACTAAAAAGGGAAGCCTCTTAACAAAATAAGTACAAAGGAAAAGTATAGGATAATGGAGCTATGGTCTTATTAGTCTAAATTTAAAGAGTGATGATAGATGACAGATATATATATCTAGATATATAGATATATATATCTCACAGGTGATAGCTGATAAACAGGCAAGAGATTACAATAAATTATACTCATATCTGTATGAGATAGATGTGAACAGATGCTCAATGGGTAGATGGTAATATAATAGAGAAATAATAGGTAGAAAGAAATAGGAGAAAAGGAGCTACTGATAGATCATAAATAGATGATAGACACAGTGCGAGCTATCGGTGGATGACAGATAAGCATACCTCGATACTTCAGACTATGTCCACAGATTTTTAGTACTTCTGTTTTGAGAATAAGAACCAGAGAAAACTCAGGTTATATCATGCCTGTGACTATCTCAGCTTCCGAGCCCTACTTTATGGAGAGAAGAGGTGACAACCCTCTGCCTCAGAGCTCTCTCAGGGCTGAAGTTCCCTATTGCAGCCAAGAAAGCCCCCACACACTCCAGGAAGCAACTAGCAGCATCCCTGTAGCACCTTCTGCAAGATTAATTGCCTCAATTTCGGAAAGCAGCACCTCCAGGCACCTGCTGTGTGCTGTGAGCATGGCAGAGTTATAAAATAATCCCTCACCCAGTGACTGGAGACTC